CTCTGTTTAAGTGCATATTTATTTGATGGATGGGATTGGAGAACATCTTGTCAACTTCGATGACTTGAAGAGACATTTTGTTCTGTGAATGTATCACAGTTGCTTGATTGATAATGTTTTCTAAAGTATGCTGAAAGCATATTTGTACTGTGGTTCTTTCCCCAGCTGCCTGCTGATTATGAAATATGGAACATTATACAGAAACTTTCATAGTGTACTGTTTTTTTGTTTTTTTTTGTTTTTTTGCAAGGCAAGAAAGTCCCCCATTTAGAAAAGCCAATGTATTTAACATAGCTTGAAGGGAGTGTTCAGCCAAAATGAAAATTCTGTCATCGTTTACTCTAAACATCATTTATCTCTTCCATGGAAAAAAAAATGAATAATTTTTGAAGAATATCCTAGCTACATTTTTCAAAATAAGGGAAATTAATGTAGACTAGGACTCTTAAACGCCAAAATGACTATAAATAAAAAGCACTACATTCAAAGTCTTCCAGCCATTTGATAATTTTGTGTAATAAAAAGGCAGAAATTTAAGTTATACTACACTGTAAAAAATAACAAAGTATGTAAATAAAAACAAAGAATATTGGAGTATATTTCAGTTTTTCTATTTCAGAATTTTCATGTTTAATTCAATGTGTTACTTGCTCTTTTTTGTAACTTAATTGTTTGTGAAATCGTAAGCAGTAATGTACGAGAGGCTAGTGCTGTATCGTGAATAAGTCACGGCTGAAGGGCGTTGTTCGCGGAGTGCCTGCAAACCGCTTCAGCCGTGCCTTATTCACGATACAGCACTAGCCTCGAGTACCTTATTGCTTTTATAAAACGGTTACCACACAATACAAATATTAAAGCCGAATATGTATCTATGCAACTTTAATGAAGTAAAATCCTTCCTTTCGCTGGAAAAAATAGTCTCTGGCCGTAAACAACAACAGAAGTTACATACATTATTTCGCCAATAGATGGTGACAAAGACTGTCTTTTATGAGTGAGTCAGTCAGTAGAGAAGACTTTCACATTGAAAAGACTCAAACTTGTGATCACGGAGGGTAAGACGCAACTGACATATGAGAAAACAAGAACAAGAACAAGATATCGCAGCGGACATAAATAGTGCTGGGCGGTACGACCAACAATTTATATATCGTTATCTTAAAAAAATTATACCGGTTTCACGGTATATGAAGGTTGTTTTTTTTCAAGTATGACTGGGGGTTAACCAGTCGCCGCCCAAAATTCGTCAAAATTCCCCCTCACAAGCACATAAAAGAGCTGTGTTTGGGATGTTTGAGTTGGGGAGGGGCAGCATGCGAAAGTTTTAAAATATGCTTTATTTTTGTAATTATGCTTCGTGCCACTAGTGTTGCAGAAACTACATACTTCAGCTTTAAAGGTACACTATGTAACTTTTGGCCCTTTAGCAGCTAAAAAAATAAAACTGCATGCATTTTGCCGAAGAACATTGTTTTGGTGGTGCTTTGGCTCTGCATGACTGTTTGGATGAATATGGTTACTCTACTTCTCATAAAACATTCACTACTAGGCTTAAAATATATAACCAGTTTAGATGGAAAGGATCTCAAGCTGACTAGCTGAAGAAGTTACTGTAGACACTCACGGATGACGTACGCAATTTCTCTCAAAAACCATCCTAGGTCTAATATAAACGCTTATAATAGGCTTACCGTAGTCAATCAGGGTAAGACAAAAACAGTAGTGGATCAGGGTAAGACAAAAACAGTAGTGGATCAGGGTAAGACAAAAACAGTAGTGGATCAGGGTAAGACAAAAACAGTAGTGGATCAGGGTAAGACAAAAACAGCAGTGGATCAGGGTAAGACAAAAACAGCAGTGGATCAGGGTAAGACAAAAACAGCAGTGGATCAGGGTAAGACAAAAACAGTAGTGGATCAGGGTAAGACAAAAACAGTAGTGGATCAGGGCAGTGGCGTAGCACCTCAGATTTCTGATTGCTTAAAAAAAAAAAAAAAAATTTAGGAGGCAAAATATTTTTTAGTGATTATGTGAATTACACTGCGCAAACCAAAGTATTACTACCCACCGGATGAAGAAGGGTTTCCTCTCAGTCTCCACAGTACATAAAATATTCATTTTATTTTATTTTTCGTGTTCGTATTTATGAGGAAAAAACAATGTTATGGACGTGTTCTCCGTTACGGACGTGAGCACTCTGAAAGCGGCACTAAAAGATGCTTTAAAACTTTCACAGACACATCAAACAGAAAGCACAAAACCTTTCTTTAAAGTGAATTTCGTTTTGTATTAATTGTATCTTAATTTTAATCAATGTTTCATCAACCAATTGCCTGGATTTAATAAATAAGAAGTAAATATAGCAGACGATAGATAATCAAGAAACGGAGGCGCCGGCGCGTGAGCTCGTCTCATAAATGAACCGAAACTCAGCGTTCAAGGTAGCCTACTTGCCTCACAGACATGTCTACTTTTAAACAGAACAATTCAAAACGAAAGAAAACAGACTACATACTGCTCTCTGCTTATGTGATCCTTATGAAATGTGCATTTCTCTCTGGCGCGTTCACTACTGAAGACCGCGAGTCACTCAGCATCGTCAACTTCATCTTAGCCGACAAAGAAAACACTTGTTAATTAATAAAAAATTAAAATACCTCATTGCTATATTTTACAAATTCATAATCATTACTTTTGCCGGTTCTTTGTGACAGCTTTTAGGTGCTTTATTGGCAGCGCCACCCTTACATGTTAGAGTCGCCACCGCATCACCAGAATAGGCATGTATATATAAAATTCTGGCTATATATATATATATATGTTGCCCCCTCATTTAAAGACGGGACCCCCAAAAAATAAAATTCTGGATACGCCCCTGGATCAGGGTAAGACAAAAACAGTAGTCGATCAGGGTAAGACAAAAACAGTAGTCGATCAGGGTAAGACAAAAACAGTAGTCGATCAGGGTAAGACAAAAACAGTAGTGGATCAAGGTAAGACAAAAACAGTAGTGGATCAGGGTAAGACAAAAACAGTAGTGGATCAGGGTAAGACAAAAACAGTAGTGGATCAGGGTAAGACAAAAACAGTAGTGGATCAGGGTAAGACAAAAACAGTAGTGGATCAGGGTAAGACAAAAACAGTAGTGGATCAGGGTAAGACAAAAACAGTAGTGGATCAGGGTAAGACAAAAACACGTTATGGAAGAATGTTTTAACTATTGATTCATTATTTTGAGCATAAAAGTTACATAGTGTACCTTACTACCTTTATGTAGCAGTGTCTTTGTGAATGAATCATTCCTTGGAGTAAAATCTTTCTTTAATGAATCTGCTGACTGATTTGGCTCTTGAGTTCAACCCAGTGACTCAGTGATCTGCCAGATTAACAGTCCACTGGATTGGAAGATTATCAGTAATGACTTAAATTTAGTCTGTTTGTCACAAAGTCTGGCATCAGAAGACTATGAATATAGAGAATAAGTTGTATGGATAAATTATTGTAATATTATTGTCTTAATGGTGCTTTTACTTTACATCCTGTTTTGAACTCCAGTCTTTATTAAAAATTCTTGAAATATTTTACCTTTTGTTTTCCACTAAAGAAAGTCATAAGGGAACAACATGAGGATGGAATTTTCATTTCTGAAGGAACTGTTCCTTTAATAATTGGTCCAATGAAATATTCTGCACACTATCGTTCAAAATATTGGGGTGTAAGATTATTAGTAAGTCTCATATTCAAACAAACACTGAATTTATTTGACCAAAAATGCAGTAAACCGTAATATTGTGAAATATTAGTACAATTTAAAATGGTTTCCTATTTCAATATATTTTTTAAAGAAATATATTCCTGTCATGGCAGTCTTCAGTCTTTAGTGTCACGTGATCTTTCAGAATTTCTCATCACAGTTGAAAAATTGTATTTAAAGATGACACTGGGTAAATTCAAAGGTTAATCACTGGGATGGCAACACAAAGGGCACAGGTATGAACCAAAGTGGGGCATGAAGCATTTAACTGAAGAGTCACCGAGATTCATTACCAGCATTGTGCCCTTCGAGACGCTTAACCATGCATTGATATATAGTAAATGTCCCTGCAATTACTGCAACATTATGTATTTGTTAAATGTCAAGTAACTAATTAAAAAACAAAAAACAATTGTTTTCAAGACGTCCTACTTCCACAAGAGTAAGTTTAATTTATGTAAATGTATCACCAAGCAGCAATTTCGCTCTCCATGTTGTACACAAGTGATTAAATGATCATAGACAAATGACAGTAATATGCAGTATTTCAACTTGTATATTTTGGAAATGATGAATTAAATGAGTGAAATATCCCTTCAATTGGTTCCACCTCTGTAAGATGCTCTCAGATTTTACCCTCAACCTCGAAATCAATTCAAAGCGTTTCTTGAGAAAGACTCTTTTAAGATGACTTGCATCAGAATAATTTCTTTGCTGGGTACAAATCAAGGCTGAGCCGTGAGGCCTTGTTTTATGGTATTTCTTAACAATATTTTAACACATAGAAATGTGGAAAACAACTTTCTTCAAAGAGCTTATTTTCTTTTGAACTCTCTGCACCAGACTCAATGTTCAGAATCTCTTTAAAATGCATTAAAAAGCGCCCCAATAGCTGATAACTGCCCCCTTTTGCGTTTGCCACAGACAGAAAATGAAAGAGGACGTTTCAGGCTGAGGACAAATTGAGGTTTTGTTGAGACGTATAGATTTTCACCTTGGCATGCTTTTGCATTTTCAAATAATCAGGTGGCCCGAGAAGTCTACGGTTTTATATACACTTCATGTTCAGTTAATGTTTTCTATTCATGTTTCACTTCCAGTGTCTGTGTATCCCCTTTCCTGTATGTGATCATCCTAACATAAACGGTGTGAATGTATTACCACAGTTGAATTTTTTTGAAAAATGTAATGCAGTTTTCAATCTCTATTTCTCCATTTTTCTCTATTGGTCTTTTCTCATGCACAGGACATTCTGAACAACTTTGATAACACTGGATCATGTGACCTGGAAGATGATGACCTCATGCTTGATGTTGATCTGCCAGAAGACAGGGCCTTACACAATGGTTAGTACACACACACACACACACACACACACAGAGAGAGAGACAGTGTAATTGAGCACTGTAGCATAACCAGTTATCATTCACTAAGATAACTATTTGATGTCTAAAGTGATTACAGAAATGAAAATGATCAATAGAATCATGTCTGCATCACTGTTTTCTCAAAACTTGTAGATATGGCTAATAAATTACTAAATAAATGAAATTAAAGTCTCTCTCATTCTTTTCAACCCCAGCGCATGAAATGACCAACATCTATTTACCTTTATAACCACAATGGTCATTCTGAATTGAATTTGTAATATGCGCATTGGATTTATCTTGATCTATTAATTCATTTTCAATTTGCATAGATAATGATTGCTGATTAGGTTTAATCATTGTTGATTGATCACATACTTTGAATGTGAATTACATTTCTAAGGATGAGTTTCCTGCAGCTTAGTATGTGTTTTTGATTCATTCAAATTTATGAAGGGATTTTGTAGGGTTGAATACAGTATATCATTTTGTATTTTAATTCTTTGTTTTGAGGAATTTAAATTGTTTTAGTGATCTGACAACATGACCTTTGACATGATTTTCAGCAGCTTCTATATGTATGTATGTATCTTTTTTTAAGACAGTGAGAGATGGGCTTTTTAAAATTATTTATTACATGACTGCTGGCAGTTGTTTGGAGCTTTGTTTTTGTTTTGTTTTTTATATGTTTGATAGATGAATTATGAGTTAAACTTTAGTAAGTATGGTTTGTACAAAAAAAAAAAACTTTATTTTAACTTTGTTAAAATAACCTAAAATAATGATTTCAAATAAATGTGCAAGTATTTTAAGGTGTTTCTCCATTTTTATTTACCTTTTGTGCTGTTAATTTAATACTGCTGTTAAATGTATAAATATTCCATGTAGTCTCTGAATTTGAGGTCATAAAAGTATGACATTTGAGTATAATGATCAAAATGAGAAAAATGTTAAAAATGTCTAAAAAGGTTTTAGATTACAGTTTTTCTCTATTGCTTAAACACATTTCTTGAAACTATTCCTCATATTCTCAAAACAGTAAACACAAATCCATAACATCTCACCCAATTCCCCAAACATCCTATTTTCAGGTCAAAATGAAGCTCTACACTCAAAACCATTCACTCTTGCTGAAAAACCAAACTTTGCCCTCAGACATCACACACAAGCCCTCACAAACACACTCACTACAACATAGTCTTACACACTGGTGCAATAAATTCAAAACAACATTACCAAAACTGGTAAGTTACGTTGCTTGTGGTTCCTCCCCTCACAAACCTTTTCACATGATGAACACAAAAGACACAACCAATGGATACATTGGCGCACTTTTACACATTCATGTACAGTAAAAAAAAAAAAAAAAAAAAATTATTCCGCCTCAGCATCCAGTCTTTGGTCTGGGTCAGGCCAGAGAATCTCGTGGACTCTTAGTGTTTCCACTTGGGTAATTGTGTGCTAACTGAGCTGAAGCTGTGCTGACTTGAGTGAACAATATTGAATGCTAGTGCTTTCTAAATGACAACATGGTGTAGGCATTGGCAATGAGAAATGAAGGGATTGTGTGTAGAGTTTTGCAGTGACGGTTCAACAAATCTGACTCATGTGTCAAAACAGGGGAATAGTGTTTATAGTTTAGGGAAATGGGTGTGCTTTTTGATAAATGGCGTTATGATTTTGAAATTTGAAACAAAGTTGTTGTTGTTGTTTTTTTAATCAAATAAATGCAGTCATTGGTGAGCATAATAGACTTTCCAAAAATCATCTTAAATCTTAAGCATTTGACTAGTGTATATAACTTTAAATACTTTATTTAATAATAATATATACAATATATAAATATATCACATACAGTAGTGCTTATGTTATTAGCATATCGTGAATTACCGTAGTTGCCATTGGAGACAACCCCTGCCAAAAACACTGAATAAATATCCTCAATCTTCCGAGTAAGTCTCATTAACTCTCAGTTTTGAAAGAGATCGTCCTTTTGTTGAGCTCACTTCCTTTTTCCTTCAGTCTCAGAGTGTGATTTTAGAGTGTGTTAGTGAGGTCACAGGGTGGTTACGGGTTCTGCAGATTCTTGTATACGTAGACAAATTCCATACTAGAGATGGCAAACAAAAGGCTTCATACATCCACTTTATAGATGACATTCAAATGTATGATTGCATCCTCTGTGTACTGGAATGACACGCACCCGCCCTTCCTGTAACAGCACCATTCTGTCAGATGTTTGTCTAAAGTTAAAAGATACTTCTTTTGAGCATCTGTGTTTTTTTTTACTTGTTTTTGTTTGTTTATATTCCGTATTTTGACCTGCGCCATCAGCAGGAATCAGTTTTACACCGCTGTGTATATGTGTGTGTGTGCTGTATTTATAGCCTCGGGCATCATGGCCTGCAGTCATGTGAGGAGGGTTACAGAGCCAGAGGAGGGAATAGATGACTTCAGGCCCCCTCCCCCTTTATCTCCCCTCCCTGTCTTTCTGTCTCCTTCATTCCTTCCATGGTCGATCTGTCTGCTTTGCAGGCAGGAAGGCCTGCTGTTTTGACACTGCTTCCCGAGACCAGAGGGAAGACTCTGCCTGAGGGCTGTGTCTCGTCCTGGCTGAGAACGCCACCGCCAGTTCCTCTTCTCTTCAGAAGGCCCCTCGGCTCAGGGAATTACAGCTGTGTGTCTGTTTCTGGTCAAAGCTCCCAGGGAGTTCCTCACAAACTCATACACACAACCTCGTTCCAACAGGGCGGAAAAGTTATTGGATTTGCAGATGCTCGTGTGGCCAGTGAGAAATTCGTAGGTAGTTTGACACTTTTTCAAAGTTTTATACATACTTTGAGTTATACATCATACAGCTTTGGAATTTTTTAACCTTGGGGACCTTGTCCAACAATATTTCAACCTTTTTTTTTTCTTTTGGACGGGTTAGTCTAAACAGACCATCTCTGCTCTTAGTTCTAAGGTTATTTGTATTCGTGTGAGTGAGTTTTGGACTGTTTTTCGAGTCTGTTTTTGAGGCTCTGGCAGTGAACCGGACAGCAAGGACAATAGGAATGTAGCAGGTCTGTTTTGGAGCTTAGTTTTCTCTCTGGTCTGCTTGCTGTCTTACTCTGTGCTGGGTGAGAAGTGTATAGAAAGATTGAGGGAGTGCTTGTGTGAGAGACAGAGAGATTTTGTATGCGAGTGTTTTAGTGTGAGTTTGCCCTGATATCTCGCCTCAGGCAGTGTGAGTGCTGTGTATCGGAACTCTAAAGAGCTCTGCGTTTGGAAGGACCCTGCTCAACTTCCCAAAGAAAGATGACCTTCTTTTTTCAAGAAGTGTGTGTTTGTTTCGGAGTATGTCTAGGAGACTAACTGAATGTGTAAGTGTGTTTAAAAGTGAGTTGGGTTTGTTCAATGTGTTTGTTTATTTGTCATTGACTGCTATTGACCCCTCTGTGTATGCAGATGGGATGGCCCACTTTGAGCGCTCTGAAAGGGGGGGCCGGCCGGCTCAATGGAGGAGGAGACAGCAGAGATGGAGTGGAATGGATCAAGCTCATAATGACAACAGGTGAATGCAGGTGTTTCACATCAGAGGCTATTATACAAATATTTGTTATAAACGTGCATATAATCAAAGTTTATATTATTATTTATTATTTTGTAATTTATTAGAAATTATATTTGAGCAAAACTGGAATAATATATTCAGCATTCAGGAATAGAGCTGTACATTTTATAATACGAGGGTTGTATTCAGGGTTTGAAATTAAAGTCCCCATGAAATCATAATTGACCATACTTACTTTGTTTGCCTAAATTGATCGTTTTGTGGTGAACAATTCATCCATGCAAGTCAATCCACACAAAAAATTTTTTTGGCTTCGTAATCTTTAACCCTCTGGGGACCAGAGTGTTTTTGGGGCCCTTGGGATGTTTTGACATGCACTGACATTTGTGCTTTTTTCAGTTATTTATAAACATGTTAATGGCAAAGGTGTAAATTCACTCTATATAGCACAAACTTGGCTCCCATGATATCTGAGCAACATGTATGTACATGTTTGTATTTTTAATAGAATAATGTTTATGCGTGGTTATTGAAAAAAATAAAAATGAAAGTTGCTGAAATAAGACCACAAAACACATATTGATTATTTCTTCACAAGACTTTTGAAAATTGTATCACATAGCCTAGAATATTTGCTCCAAAACTATGTGAGAATCATCCTGACTACTCATTCAGATAAGTCAATAAAGTCTTTTACATTTTTAATGACGTGTTTTGTTTGAGAAAGCTTTATGCAGGAGGCGTGATCTCTCATTAATATGTGTGGCATTCCACACCTGAGAAAGACAAAGACCCTCCCCATAATGGCCCTATTAGGTGCTATCAGGCCCTATCATTACAGGAGCCTTGCACAAAGAATGAGGAGATTTAAAAAAGAATGGCTTTTAGATTGTTTGGATTTATATAAGGAAAATACAGGGTGCATACGTCTGGACACTTCTATCACACACCCTTCACCATATAGACATGGTTTTATTTCAGTTCAAAGTTAGAGTTGGAAACATCTTGAAAAGAAAATTGTCTTTCTCCATAAATGTCTTAGTTTGATCATACATATTTCAAAGTTGAGGATTCATTATTTTGATATAGCTTGAACAAACACTATAACATCTTAGTTGATTAGTTTATTGACAAAACATACAATATATTTAACATATGAGCAGAAACTCCTAAAAAAAGCTTATTTGATGTCTATTTTAGAGTAAAAACTTTATCCAAAACGAGTCAACGAAATGTTGTCTGTTATTTAGTCTGTAACAGTGCGTATCTGTGCGTTCATTCATTCATTCATTCATTCACACACACACACAAACATGATTCACATTTTTAAACAGTATGCTATTTTTCCGTTTACAGACACTACGTTATTCTATATCGCGATTAGAACGAAGCACTTGCAAAAAACACTTACTTCTCAGCTGAATCTGTTCATCCTCGAAGTGAAAATAAACCCAGTGGTAAATGTCCCAGGATTGTTCCTCATATAGCCGCGCAAGACGACAGTAGATTAATCTGACTAAAAAATAATGTGTGTTTTCAGAGTTTATGGGCGTTAACGCGTCTCAATGTGTTGCTTCACATATTTGCGTTTGAATAGCGCGTGCTCTCCGTGGGCGTGTCACATTACCAGAGATAATCAGCTGAGAGAACGATAATGAGACGGGCTGACACGTCTCTCTTTTTATATAGATGACATAAACGGAGAATATTAATTTTAGTTTTGAATCGGATCATTTAAAAGTACAAACTCAAATGATTTAAAAGATATATTGCTTATGGCTGGGTGAATAGTATTAGCTGAGTTGTGTTGAAGATTAGAGACGTGCTCCAGAAAAAAAGTTCACGGTGACGGAGAGGCAGAACGCACACCCTGTTTATTTTCTTTATTTTACAAAAGCACAATATTTTATTTCGATTGTATGTGGGCACATAAAAAAGTAGACATTTACCAGATTATTTTTTCATATTTCTTAACTCTATATGAACAGAAATGATGGTAGTACTTTAAGTCTATTTTTCTGCTATGTGAAAAAAAACGAGCAAAACGCGCCGGCGCGTTTCTGGTCCCCAGAGGGTTAATCAAATTTTGAAAATGCCCCTCCCCTCTGCATTGGAGGACCTTGCCCGATGACGTAGGCTTTACGGTTTGGGTGTCTGCTTAACATCCATAACCACGCCCCTCCAACTGACAGTAGACAGGCTGAATGAAAACACCTACTTTTCTAGATCCAATCAGGTGCTAGTTGGAGAAAAAGCCACGTCCACTATTTTGCCTCATTTAGTATTCCGTTTCTCTCGGAAATACGTCACAACACTGGAGAAAAGTCGTTTGCAACTTCCGGTTCACGGGGACTTTAACACCCGCCAACCCGCCAAATGCGGGTAAAAATTAACTTTAGCGGGTAAAGCTGTCAAATCACTAGCCAATTTGGCATGTTATTATTTTTACTCACTTTGCTGAGGAAGTTCGTGTAAGCTAAATCTGCGCGGATTTAGCGCAAATACTCAACTCGTGAGTCATCATGATCTATACAGCGTATTGCGCAGAATCTGCGCATTTCTGGCTTGAACCTGCGCATTTCTGGCTTGAACACACACACTAAGCAACTAATAACGGCGCGCTTGTTCACTTGCATTAAAGAAATAGCGAAGATTAAAAAACATTTGGTTAACATTTGGTTGCTATTTTCCAACATCCTACATGTTTCTCCACCTAAAACATGTGTTTGGTAAAAAAAAAAAAAAAGATGAGAATGAATGAGGAAAGGAGGAGATTGCTGGATGACAGGATTTTGTTTTAATAAGAAATTAATGTATGAAATCCAAATTTTTATATATATATATATATATATATATATATATAAGCTGTCACGTAGTTAATCTGGTTAATTTCCTCTTCTTTTTTTGGCTAGTAGAAGTTCTTAAAAATTTTGTAGCCAAATTGGCCAGTGGGTTAAGTTAATTTCAAACCCTGGGTATATTAAATCTCTTTTAATATTTTTTTCTGTCTCGAGGTCCATTCATAATATAGTTTTTTAGCATCAAAAAACATTATTCAGTTAATGTAATTTATTCATAATTTTTTTTCATGATAATTTTTCACCTCCTCTCTGAGCCTCATAATGAAATTATCTTTATAATATTATTATTTATTTATTATTTATTTTATTTTTTTGCTGCCATGCCTTTGAGATATCTGTGTATGCTGTGCTGCTTCTTTTCTGTCAGGTCCATTGTAGTTCGTGTTCCACCATCTTTAATTAACAGGCAGTGAATTGCACACAAATCACAAACAAGTGATGGCAAAGCTGAATTTTCAGCAGTCTTCAGTGTCACATGATCCTTCAGAAGTTCAAAACAACAGCATTTATTTAAATAGAAAACTTTTGTAGCATAAATGTTTAATAATCACTTTTGGTCAATTTAATGCTCTTGCTGAATAAAATTATCAATATCTTAAAAAAACAACAACTAAACAACCTAACATGTTTGCACTATAGTGTAGATTGTGACAAGTTAACAAAACAACCACACTGAAATATGCCACACAACCTGTTATGGTCAGACTAATGGCATGAGAGACATTGTAACAAATAAACTAAACGCTTTAATTAAGGATGCTTTAATTGCCAGATATATACAAACTGGAATAATAATGTCTTCTGGTGATTTTGAAATGGCAGTATCTGTTCAACTTCATCCTAATGCATGACTGAATGAGCCAAGTTCATGAACACTGAATAGCCGTTGTTGATTTGTAAATATTGGTGGTCAAGTTTCAGTGTATTTTGGTTAATGTCATAAAGTTTGGAAGAAGCTGTTCCCATTCAGTCAGTCACGTCGAACATGACTGACTGAATGGGAATGGCTAGGTTACAAATGTAACCCCAGGGAATATAGATGTTACGTCCCTCCTGCCACAGCCCTGAACCCACCGCTGAAGGGTCGGATCCCTGTCTCGGCTCCTCAGCAAAACATAAATGAGAAGTGAGTGCCGGCCATGTTTATATCCGTATGTCTGTGTAGGAGTGCCTGGGCATGCAAATATTGTTGGCCAATTTCCATTGCATCATTTAGTTACCACTTGAAGGTGATTGTGCTCCCAGATGAGACCCCAATACATCAGTATCGATGTAATGTCTCCGTTCCCTCCTTCAGAGAGCGGGGGTTACATTAGTTACCTAGATGTCTGTTTTCATCACTTTCGATTTCAAAGATCATGAGAATTTTTTTTTTTCTTTAATACTGATGTGTATTAAATCTGAACTCTTTCTTTTAGGCTGGCCGGGTTTCATTACGATGCCTGTCGTACAGGCCATCGGCCCCTCCATCCCACAGTTCAGCATGACAGTCACACGGTGGTGCTAGATGAGCTCACTTTCAAGCACGTGGCAGAAGACTGTTCGTCTGTCAAATCACAGCTGCTCAAACTCAAGAGTCTGCTGCAGGTACCACACACACACACACAGCTGGATGAGTCATATTTGCACTTAGCTATGCAAACACATCTGTTAGCCTCTGAGTAGCTTTTAGTATGCGTGTAGTTGTAAAACAAAAAAGAGTAAAAGAAAAGGGATGAGTTGTAAACTTGAGAGAGATGCATCTTCTGAATAAATTGCCATTTTATGTAGATGGATGATGGTGAGATTACTCCAGAGAGTTTGGATTCCAGTGAAGATGACAGCAGAGCCAAGCAGGTCCACAACATCCCATAAACACCTACCTGAATAAAGCTATTCAACTTGCAGTCCTAAAACCTGAAAAAGAAAATTAGCATTTTCAAGCCATGGGCTCCCTCAGGAATTTCTAATGTGTTTTTATAAAAGTGTTTTTCAAATGCTGGATCTGGATGCTTAATCTGGAAGAGACTTCCGCAGTTTGTTCAACTGCATAAATGGTACAGTCATATCTTAACAACAGCATCAAAGGTTATTTGTGACCCTTGACCACAAAACCAGTCACATGGGTAATTTTTGGGAAATTGGGATTTATACATCATCTGAAAGCTGAATAAATAAGCCTTCCAATAAATATGTATGGTTTAATAGAATATGACAATTTGTGGCTGAGATACAACTATTTGAAAATCTTGAATCTGAGGGTGCAAAGAAATCGAAACATTGAGAAAATCGCCTTTAAAGTTGTCCATTTATGTTCGCGATTGTGCAGCATTCTCTCACGAAAAAAAAAAGGTTTTATATATTTGTGGTAGGAAATTTACAAAATATCTTCATGGAACATGATCTTTACTTAATATCCTAATGATTTTTGGCATAAAAGAAAAATCAATAATTTTGACCCATACAATGTATTGTTGGCTATTGCCACAAATATACCCGTGCTACTTGTGACTGGTTTTGTGATCCAGGGTCACATATTTTAAGCAAGTTGCTACATAAAGACTAAAACTATAAGTACATGAGAATCCTCATATAGCAGCTTGTGTTTTTAAAGTTTCAGAAGTAGAACGAAACCTTAATATATCTCAAGTAATGATTACCACAGAACTACTTATACTCAATTGCAAAATTCTATTCTAAAAAGCCATTAGTAATTCCTGAGGGAACATGTGGTGAATTAGCATTCTGTTTTGGCCTACAAATTGACATCAACAGCTCTATGCCCCCTTTTTCAATTCCGTACACATGCATTATTTATGTGTATATAGTTTCATATTATTTGTGTATGCATTTATCATTTGTTTTGTATTTGTGTGTCAGATGGAGGAACTGATGAAGGAGGTGGCGCATCTCAGGGAAGAGCTGAAAAATAAAGATAAAATCATCACACGGCTCACTCATCAACAGCATCAAGAATCTGTGAGCCATCACCATTCCTGACACATTTAAACTGGCGCTCATTTTGACCATTTTGTATTGATTGAATATACATAATACATGAGTGGTTAATCAGAGCCTGCAGTGTCTGCTGGAAGATACTAGAGCCATGCTAACTCCATGTCTGCATGAATGAGATGAAATCAGGACGGGATGTTCTCAGAACAAACCCACATCTCATACTGTTCATTAACTTCACTGCTCCAAGCCAAAAAAATAACGCAGCAAATGGCACATCAACACATGCACTTTAACCTTTAATCCCAATTACTGTCACCTTCGGTGAGCAATTATATCATTAGCGCTAATAAACTCACCTCTTTTGCATTACGCTGATTGCAAAGCAAAGATGAAAGCAAATGAGATTTCTTTACATTAGAACAAGAGTATGTGCTTAAGGCAAGCTTCAATATTACTTCTATATAGGTTAGGGAATTGAACAAACTCTTTACTTCTTGTGCTACTGGCATAAATGATACCTCAAATTGTTACTAGCAACCTGATTTTCGCCTAGTGAACAATAAAACCGTCAAAAAGAAATCATCTTCATAATCAAAATATCGTAGAGCCTTGAGGGTGCTCTTTTTTCAGAGTTTTCTATTTAAATGGTTTTAAAATGGTTCGAAAAAATCAGTTCTACAAAAAATAGATTGCAAAAATACTTTGCATAAATTTACCAAAATAATAATTTGGTATGAATAATGTATTAAATAAAAATATTAATAAAAGTAATTTGCAATGCATTGTTTTTATTGTAGTTTAGTCATAGTGTGTATCAAAAATTTGCGATTATCAGTAATAAGTTCTATTGGTTATATAAAAACTTAAACGGAAAAATTTGGTATAGTTATTGGCCATAAAATTTTTTGATCAATTTCTCTCTACCAGCAATGCCCTAGAAAATACTTGCAGCATTCTAGCATTGGAAGTTTTCTATTTAAATTTTTTTTAAATAATGGTTATCCATTCTAATAAAATTTCGATTGCATAAATATGACATAAAAATAATAATTTATTTAGAATTTTTATGAATTGTATTATTTAATATTTATTATTAATATTTAGCTTAATTTTTTATTATTGTTAATAATACAAATGCCAAAAATAAAACAAATCAATAATCAGTTCTTAATATCGGTTCCTTAAAAAATATGAGCTGACATGAAAATTTGGTGTAGTTGTTGGTCATAAAAACTGATCAATTTCTCTCCACTAGTAATGCCCTGGAAACTATTACCAACAATCTAGCATTGTGGGAGCAAGTTTTGAATGGCCAAGACACTCAAACCAGTCGTGTTTTCTTTAGAAAGTGAAAAAATCAAATTATTATTGCTTTAATTCTCTCTCTCTCTTTCAGCCGGTGAGATGTCAGTGTCATCAGCTGAAGTCAGGGGCCAAAGGTGAGAGAAGAACGCATCATGATAAATCCACTCAGACGGTGTGGCGACCGCCCCATCATCACCCCGCTGTGAGTTATTTCTCACTCTCTGGCTAGAAACATGCATGTCAACTTGATCGCATCATGGAGGCACCCTAAACTCTCCCAAAATGTCAGTGTATTGTGACTGGTGTATCTGTGTGTGTCCTTGGTGAGCTGTCTGCCTCGTTTTTATTTCCTGTTTCCTTAACTCTCTAGGCTTTATAGGTGGCCAGTTGTTTACAAAAGGGGGAAGCAAATGTGTTGTCAGGGTGACAAATCAGACAACACATTCCTTCTGTTCTTTTCCTTTCCTCCAGCCTTACCTCCTTCTTGTTCGTTTTTCGTGGTGAAATAGCCCGACAGTCTCGCGGGACGCCCTGAGCTGAGGCTCGTTTGCCGAGGTGCCGATTTGGCCAATTTGCAGTTGCTACGAGAAAACGGGCATCTACTACAGAGTGCAGAATGATTGTCATCTCCTATTTAAGTGAAGCCCCAGAGCACCCACTCCGGTGGTTTAGCTTTCAGACACCCAGCCTGGGATGTTCACCAGGGGACGTGTTCTTATTGAAGACCGACACACAATCAGTAAAGCCAACAGCACACAGAGAAAGACTTGAGTCAGGAGAGATTACAGGGAGGAAGGAGAGATGAGGGAGGTAACAAGAGATGGATGAGAATTTGAAAGTGGAAATGAGGAAGAGAGAGAAACAGAGTTATTGGGGACCGGGAACAATAGGACTGGTGTTCAGTTTGCATGTTAGTGTTTGAAAAATAAAGGGATACTTCACAGTTTTGTTTTCCATACCTGTATGAATTACTTTATTCTGTGGGATATTAAAGATATTTAGCAGAATGTCCTGCTGCTCTTTTCCATATAATGAAAGTTAAGTGTTGTCAAATTTCTGTTCCTCACACTAAGCTGCCATATGGATTTAGAAGACTTGGTATGTAGGGACCTTTGCAGCTTAGACATTCAAATAATCTTCTTTTGTGTTTTTATGAACACAAATTATACAGGTTTGGAATGAAGTAAGGGTGAATAAATGACAGAATTTTCATTTTTTAGGTTAACCATCCCTGATGTTAAAAGTTACATTTGCATGACTTCATCATAAAATAAGTTATCAGTGATCCGTTATTAATTTCACAAAGCTGCAAACTATGTAAAAAATTGTATTGCATGTTAAGCATAACACTAAAATATTTGTTCTCCTTAACACAAGTGTGACATGTTCATGGATGGTTCACTGGGTTCATGGACTTCCTTTGTTGTTCTTGGAACAACATTCCTCTTATCCATTCATAGACCTAACTATTACCCTAATGCTAAACGGATAACTAAAATTAGCAGGCGGTGACTGGTTGATGGGATTTGTTCCTGTACCAGGAACAGCAAAGCAGGATGAATCTGATATCAGTTATACTGGAATAAATTGTAAATTCAAAATAATGCCACAGATTTTTTCTACAAATCTGACCCTGGATCACAAAACCAGTCAAGTCGCACAGCCCTGGCAATAGCCAACAATTGTATGGGTCAAAATTATCGATTTTTCTTTTATGCCAAAAATCATTAGGATATTAAGTAAAGATCATGTTCCATGAAGATATTTTGTAAATTTCCTATCGTAAATATATAAAACTTTTATTTTTGTGTGTGAATGGAGCAGAATCGCGAACATAAATGGACAACTTTAAAGGCGATTTTCTCAAAGTTTTTTTTTTTTTGCACCCTCAGATTCCAGATTTTCAAATAGTTGTATCTTGTTCAAATATTGTCCTATCCTAACAAACAATACATCAATGGAAATCTTATTTATTCAGCTTGCATGTGGTGTATAAATCTTACATTAATTAAAAAAACTTTACCCATGTGACTGGTTTTGTGGTCCAGGCTGTCAGTCCAAAAGTACAATTAGTCTCAAAGACATAAGTTCCCATTTACTTGCTGCTAAACTCTTCAAACCCATATTGTTCAATTTCAGTCGAACTAAAACATTAATTCAAGTTTTTGCGAAGTCGGTTTCACAGACCTAGACATAATGCAAATATTGCTTGATTTTTGCCAGCATGTACACTACGGCGCAAACGTTTAGGGTCGGTAAGATTTGTTAATATTTTTGAAGTCTCATGCTCGCAATGACTGCAATTATTTGATAAAAAAATATAATAAAAACAGTAACATTCTAAAATATTAAAATAACCGTTTTCTGTTTCATTATATTTTAAAATGCCGTTTATTCCTGTGATGGCAAAGCTGAATTACTAACCATGTTAATTGGATTGCAGTTGGCCTTAGTGTTGTGCACTTGCTCCAAATGATCCTTCCTATATTTTTGTGCATTTTTTGGTCATGTCTACAGTATTTGGACAGACAGATGAACACTAGCTTGACTAGGCAGAAAAAAAGAAAAGTGTTGCTCAAATATCACTGTGCATGTAAGCATACTCTTTAAATTATAAAGGTAAATAAGTCTAGTGTTCAGTCCATAATGAAAAGAGAGACTAGAGTCGTAGAGTTACTATATATGTATTATCACAGGGCAGCAAGACCATGCACACTTTCTGGGTATCAGGTTGTGTAATTTCGTTTTGTTTGCCTTTATATCTTAAAAAATTCCCAAAGGTAAATGGTATGTACCGGTAATCAGTTTTCAAGATAAGGTTTGTATGTTTACGAACATTACGGTTGAGCGTGACAAAATATTAGAGGTAAAATGTACATATACGGTAACCTAAGAACATTTGATTTCCTTATCTCAGATATTTCCCCAGTGCATGTGCCGTTCAACAGGAAAAGATAATATTATCTGTGAGATCCGCATGTGTTGGCTAGGAATATTGCATGCACGGCTTGTTCCTCGCTGGTATTTTAGTCTGATGTTCAGACATTGATGGTAGTTTGTCTTCTCAGAGGAGATGTGCGCCGTTTCTCTGTGCGATGTGCTTGCAAAAGAGTTTTTCTTTCTAAACTCTGTGTTTGTCTAGATTCACTGGAGTTTGTCTCTCCGCAGCTGTGCGGGTGCCGTGTGTGCGTCACGGTTTTTCTATGTGTGTTGCAGGCTGTACCCACTCCTCTCCTCTCTCCCTGGCAGTGCCAGTACCAGGCTACACCTCGTGCCAGCATGCCTCAACGCCGACAAAGTGAGTCATTAACCCCTTGACCTCTGACCCCGTTCCTTTGGCAATATGTTCAGCTTTCTTTCCTCCCCCTGACTCTTCATCTCTGCTCCCTTCTCTTTCATATGCTGTCTCCCTGTTGGTTTATAAATATAAATGCACAGTATAGTTACATCATGGAGTGAGTCAGGGATGTGTAAGTAGGATATCAGTCTGAGAGAGAGAGGAGGAGGAGATGTGGTGTTCGAGAGATGAAAGAGAAAGCGGTTTAAGAGGTTAGACAAAGTCAGCAGTTCCCCGCTGGGCAGTTTTGAACTGTCTCTCAGGTCTAGGTGGGTCACTGAACTGGTTGGACCACATCTGCTGTTACACTGTGTGTTTTTGTGTAGATGGCCATGCTTCGAGCCCTGTCTTCAGGTGTTTTTGTGCATGGATTTTGGAATTTTGCAATTAAATTCATTTGCTTTGGCAAAATTACATTTCCTGAATATTTTTTCTGAATATATTTGATAAATAATCAAACAGGTAGCCCTGCCTCAAACTCATCCCATTGACTGAGCTAGAAGTTGACATGTCAGACCAAACAGAGTTGCAAAAGCCTCAGGGAAATCAAACTTTTTAGGAAAGTCAACTTACAAATGACTTTTTTTTTTTTATAATTGTCTCTGCGCATTACCTGGGATGGGCATGGAAGCCTATTTTGGTCTCGGAGTAAAAAAGTTAAATGGATAATTGTTATAATTTTTTAAAATAAGATAATAAAATAATAATTCTGATGTTGTGAGGAATGAAATTCTTTTGTGAAAATCTCAAAATAATCAGAAATAAATCTAAGTTTGTATGATTTTTTTTTTTTTTTTTTTTTAAAGAAATTAATACTTTTATTGAGCAAGGATGCATTAAATTGTTTGAAAGTGACAGTAAAGACATTTACAATGTTACAAAATATTTCTATTTCAAATAAATTGAATCTTGGAAAACATGCATCTTGGTTTCCAAAAAAATATTAAGCAGCACAACTGTTTTCAACATTGATAATGATAGGAAATGTTTTCTGAACAGCAGATCAGCATATTAGAATGATTTCTGAAGGATCATGTGACACTGAAGACTGGAGTAATGATGCTGAAAATTCAGCTGTCATCACAGGAATAAATTACATTTTAAAATGATGTTAGATTTAAAACTAAATTACAAAATACATGATAAAATTTAAGTTTTAAGCCAACTGAAGAAGGCACGCGCCGAAATGCGTCTGTGCAAATAAAATAAAAGAACATATGCATAGTGTGGCCTCTTTCCTATTTTTCATATAATAATAGTAAAAATTCAATTTGCAGTTGTAACATCAGGCAGACAGGGAGCAAAGGAACAAACAGAGGTTACAATAACAAAAACTGACAAAACACAAAGGAAAACGGGTATTTATAAGGGCTACTGTTAAAACTAGAAACACCTGGGAACGATATTGGGTTAATCAACAGCAAAACTACAAGGGGACTACAAAATGGCAACAGGAAATAACCAAATACAATTGAACATAAAAGTCCAAATGGAAGACATGACAGCAGTAATTGTTTGCAGTAAATTATAGATATTGTAACTGTGTGCACAGTCATTTAATTTAGCAAGAATAGAGCTGTGATCATCTGAGAGAATGTGTTTTACATGATTGTAAACATGACTGTAGTTATAGAGCAGATGTCAGACTATGTTCAGTCTCTTCCTCAACAGACCTTCCTTCCTCTACTCTTCCTTTCTTCTCTTTCGGTTTTACTCCACTGCTTTGTCAGTTCTATCTTCTACTTTCCTTGTCCTCCTGTCTTTTCCCTTTCCCTTTCCTCTTCCTGTTTCCTGATTGGATGAACTTGTGCTCTGTGTTATTTCTCCCCCTCTGCCTATCCGATAATACCTCGGGACAGGGGTGG